TGGAGAGAAAATTAAGGGGTCTTGTTTTGAGAAGGTATTTCGTGGATTGCAAGCAAAATTAGGATAAAATTAAAAGATATTTACGCGAAATATAGATATATGTATAAAAATTTATTAAAATTTCAACAAATACAAAATTCAGAACTCATTGCAAATATCAATGAATTCAGCTGGTAAAAACATAAAATTACTGAACTTCTCAAATTTAAATTCTAGAACTCGTCTCTATTACCGTTAAGTATCTGATAACTATTGAAATATATGGGATAATGGTAGCAGATCTTCCTTACTATTTTTCCTTTATAGAATCAACAAGTACATAAAAAAAGGTGTCATCCATTATAATATTTGCTAATTTTGGTGATTCCCTTTGAATTTCCCTATAATCCTAATCTAATCCCTTAGATAATATCGTTATCTTGCTTTATCTCTTTGTGGTCATATAGTTGTCGCAATACACTTGAAATATATTATCTCTTTTTGTTTATGATGTTCAACCTAATAATTATAGATCTATCAGTACTGTTAATGTTTGTTGTTTTTCTCTTTCTTTTTGATAGAAAGATGGCAAACTCCTATGCTGCTTGCCTCTTTAAAAATGGCTTCATATACGTGTCAAATCTTTCAAAAATAATAAGAGTACTATATTTTTGAAGAATCTGATACAAATACAATCACATTTTTAGAGATTTCAAAAAACGAATACAAACCCCACCAACAAATATGTTCATATAGGTTATTGAGGTTTACCTATATATGCACTTTTTCTTGCTATTAATTTCTCTTCTAATGTTGAATTAAATCACGATAACATCTAGATGTATGCATCCACATTATTTCGTGTAAATTAAAACAACTACTAGTATTAAGTTAGCTTCCATAAATCCAATGATTACATGATGCCATCATGGCTCCACGAGTGTACAAATTTTCAATAAACCAAGAAAGGACAAATTAAGCAGAAAATAATAAAAAAAGTTATAAGATCACAGATCGCTAAGTGATTTCTTTTTATTCTGACTAAATTTTCTTGGAAATAATTATCAGGTACTTGTGCTTATAACAAGTAACATATATTCGATCAAATAGTTTAAGTTCGTGAAAATTAACCCAAAAGCCGTTATTATACACAATAAGAAAACATAACAAAAAAAAGTTATATGTTCATATAGGTAACCTTGGCTTGAGTCTGAAAAAAAAAAAAAAAAAAAAAAAAAACAGTTCGGTGTACAAAGCATCCCCTTCATGCAGGGTACGGAAAAAATTGCACTCCACGAGGTGTGATATAGACAATCTATTCTGACGCAAGTATCAATAGCTAATTCTATCGCTCAAACACATGACTTATAGGTCCACGGCTTGAGTGTGCATTGGATGGATGTATAAGGACCATGTTTCCTCCTTTTTTTCTCCCTTTCTAATTTTGTCACAATTTTTGGTGAATGGATGAGGATGATATTTTTAAAATAAAATCATGAATATCAAAATCTTGGCTGGGACATAATTAATGGACCTCTTTATATTATTCTCCTTGTGATTTTCTTTTTCTTTTGGTCTTATCCTTGTAATCATATTACTTTGCCTTTTTGTTATCTTATACTGTACAGCCATAATAACTACAAGGAATTGAAATGCTATTGGTAAACCCACAAACGAATGTTTCTGTAAAATATTACTCATCTTTTACTTTCCTTCGTTCATTATCTAATTGTCCTAAAGGATATGTCAAAATGGATAATCATAAGAATGGAAGAACATCATCACATTAAACGTCACTACCAGAAAAACTAAAATTAGCTACGAATTTCATCCCTAATATGTTATTAAATTCGATCATAACTAACAAAATTTCTTGATAATTTATCGTTAATCCGTTACTAAATAAAATTAGCGATAAACTTTTATGTTTAGCTATAAAATTGGTATGTAGCTAATTTTTGTTTTAGTAGCGTTGATAGACTATATCGTCATTATCTTAATGCGTTAACTATTTCAGTAACCATTAATTATTGTAAAGCCCCACTAAACCTACCATTATATACACATATGATAACATGTATATTACATTGAATGAAGTGTACCAATGATGACATAGTCACAATCCTAGACTAGTTCTCAACTCTTCCCAACTTTGCAATTTTAATCATTTTTATTTTGTATTTGATATATTCAACTATTTAAATTATTACTTAGAATATATAATTGAGATATTATTCTCCAAAAGCTCTTGGTAAGGAGTATTTTAGATTTACATAGATGAGAATAATGATACACTAGTAATAAAAAAGGGAAAATGCATAAGTAACCTCTTGACCTACGGTCGGATTTTCGATTCAACTACACACTTAAATTTTGTGGGGGTCCTATAATCCCCCTGAACTATTTTAAAGTAGAATAAATATCCCCTTGAGAGATGACGTGGTATAGAAAGTGTGTTCACTTTCTTGAAGGCGTTTTAGAGCATAAAACTCCCTTAAATTTTTATTAAATGTCTACATATGTCTTTTTACAATTGGATACTTTACAATTAGTTATATTTTATTAATAAAATAATCTCTAACCCATTTAATTATATTCAGTCGCTGTAAGAATTTTCACAAGAACTCCGGCAAACTTCTCGCCGAAAAATATGGAGTCCAGCTCACCATTTTCGTCTTCCTCTACTTTTAGTTTTACCTGTACATTCCTTTTTGCAACAACAATAAAGCCCCGGTAAAAACTACCAACTATTGAATTAAAAAAATAAAGATAATGATGGTTTGACAACTCTAGAACTTGAGAGTATCAAAACCATCAGCGACGGTTTTGTCTACGGCGACGACAACGATTCTAATTTTTAAAAAAATTGTACTATCCTCTGAGAAGTTTCCGATTAATAGATCTACCTTACTTTTATGTTGTACTCTAATTGATCAGTGTTAGTTGGAATTATATTTATATTAATGTAGTAAAATTCTATGGTTATGGGGAAAAAATAAAGGTGGCGAATGTGATGATAGGTGAATAAAAATGACGAAAGTCAAAATTTTCTTTTGAAAGTGTTTGGTAAAGCTAATATGATAATGGTGATATTTGAGGTTGTTGATAATGGAGGTGAGAGAAAGAACATAGAAAGAAAAAAGAAGATTGAAAAAAAAAAAGAAAAAAATAATTTTAGTAATAAAAATATTGAGGCGCGTGTACTCCACCACACAACATAGACGTAGTTGTGACATTTTAAGGGTAAATTTATTCTATTTTAAAATAGTTTAGGGGGGGCCTAAAATTTAAGTGTGTAGTTGAAAATCCGACTATAAATTACAGGGTATTATGCATTTTCCCTAATAAAAAATTTAAAATTGCATGAACACCTCGTCTAAAATTGGTGGCAATGCGAGATAAATTCAGAATCTTTATCTGCTCGTATATCATATCAAATTGTCCGATCACATCATTTAAATTAATTACGTAATTTTGTATTCAACAAACCATTCTAAAATTCTGGAGAGTACCAACTTCATGGCACAATAATTATGACAAAATTGTAATAAATAGTCATATATAGTCCATTTTTCACCACACTATCGATCATATCCGCCATTACATAGAACTAATAGACTATTTGAAAATTAATTACAGTAGAAAGGATTGAAATACTAAGAGTCTACGAGGTTGAGAATAAAATAAATAAGAAAAGAGAACAGAAATATTCAATATTGAAGAGGAATTGCTTCTGGGGAGGACTAGATTATACTAGAGTGGAGTAGAGACCAACTATTTGGAAATAGATATCGTCCAAAAGTCCAATAGTAACTAAGTCGTTGCCTCTAAAGGAATAATTCTCCAAAGAAAAATTGGGTTGAAATGAGGAAAGCTTTGACATTTGGATCACGTTGCTCATGTCGTTCTCAAGAAATCAATATATTGTGTGCTCAAGTTTTATCAAGATTTATATTCTCCCCACGTAATCGAGGAAAGAATCAGCGACTGAACTAAAATTTTTATGAAAGGGTGTCAAAATATAAAAAAAATAAATGCACGAAAAATCCAAAGAGATTCAACATACAATATATATAAATAATTTTTTTTTTTACCTAACTACACATGTATTTTTCCCGCGAATGTGTGTCAATTGACACCGCTCTGTATAAGGTGGCTCCGCCACTAGGAAGAACAGAACCCCTGCCTATAGCGAATTCTGTTTAATTGTTTATCTGTTCGAATTCAGGTTTCAATCACTGAACTCATCGATCATAAGGTTGTTGTGTGAGTTCATAGTTCAGTATTTTCAACAATTTTAAAGAATTTTTTAAAAATAAATTCAAATTTAGATCGAAAATTATGGATTCAAATGAACGGACATCTATAATGCTAGATTCGCCCCAATATATACATATATTAAATGCTTATTAGTTGCATTGATATCTTTTACGCAAAGAGAGCAGTGACAATCGTAGGCAAAGACAAAGGAAAAAGAGAAAGGAGAGTCAACTGTTTGATTAATTGTAAGAATGTCAACATATATATCCGAATAACGTCACTTGAATTCCTCTCAATGTACAAACTAAAGGGAGGGAATAAGAAGAAGAAAAAAAAAGTGGTCCATAACACAAACTATCTTGATGACAGAACATTTGACCTTTAAAATGTCTAAAGTGGTAGAATGAAAAATGCGGATCCTCTATTATTAACCAAAGTGTCGATCCGGTTCGAGTCCTCAAAATGAAAAATATTATTTTGATAAAGAGTTTTTTATCCATTTAATAAGTCTATAACACTAATTTGAATTAACAGAGCCATTCAAATCCGAATATCAAATGGTTAAATAAAAATAATGGTAAGGCATAATCAAAATAGTTAGGTTGTTCCCACTCTCCAAAAATATTTTCGGATACGTATTGAAGAAAAATTAAATACGAATATAGCAGTATTTTGGAGAGTCACCACCATAAGAGATGAGGTGAATGTCTTTTGCTTTTGTCTTTCGAGTGGCCTATAAATAACAGTCACCATTCTTTGTTTCTTCTCACAAACTACGTATACTGAAAACTTTACGTGCTCTCTTTTCTGCGACTTCCTCCATCACACACTAATCTCCTCACTGCAATTTTGCTCTGTTTTTTTCTGTTGTCTGCAGAAAATTAAGAAAAGAATATATAAGGGGTCTCTCTGCAAAATCTTTAAAGCCCTTATACATTTCGGTTTTTTGGAAAACTGTGTCATTTAGGCCATTGCTCGTTATATTCAGAAACATTTTCTCTGATTTTAGTTTTGCAAAATTATATATGGAGAAAGCAAAGCAAGTAGTTGGTCAATCTTCTTCTTCATCCTTTACCAACGATCTATTTGGTCCCAAACAGCGGACAAAATCGTCGCTCTTTGGTTCCGTTTTTGGCCCGCATTCCACGGTATGTATAACTATACTCATTATTTAACGTTGCAGTGTCCTTTATAAGTTAACAACTCCTCTACTGCATCTATATTCCTTTATGTTATTTCTTATATGAATTCAAGTTATGTGCATCAAAAGTATAAGCTTGTACGTAAATTTGCATTACTAGGTAACATTTCATCATATCAAGTTTGATGCAGTAAGCTGGAAAAATAGAGCGAGAATGTACTATATATAAAATTTTGCACAATTGGGGGACGTACGTAGCTTAAATCCATTCCTTATATGCACTTTATACTACTCTCTTCTCTACCTAATTTCGTGAAGTTTTTAATTCTTTTCCGCGGTTAATTTAGATCAAGAAAATGAATAACAAATATCCAGAGAATATGTGATGACATAATTGTCCACTGAGCAACTTGCTTACTTGTAGCTAGGTTCCTTTTTACTTAGATTTTCTTTTATTTCTTCCTTTTCTATAACTGTAGGGACTTGGAAGGGATTCCATTCACTCTGGAGTTAGAGGTGTATCAAGAGTCCAAGATCCAGGACACCAGTCATTTTGCAATGCAAAATATGGAACTTCAGGTTTCTGAAAATATTTTCCTCACTTATATTTTACAACTACTCAAAATGAAAGAAAGAATTTTGCAACTTTTTGTTTAAAACATGTCATGAAACTTTAATTTCGAGACCATAAAAGCATGTTGAAGGGGAGACTTGGTCACGGGTTCAAGCCGTGGAAGCAGACTTCTAATATTTACGCTAGGGTATGCTGTCTATATCACACCTCTTTGGAGGTGCGGCCTTTCCCAGACCTTACATGAATACGGGATGCATTGTGCACCCGGCTGCCCTAATTTTTATAAAAGCATGTCATTATGGATAAAGTGTAAACTAAAAAGTTTAAAGTATATATAGAAATATGTTGTTCTTTGGCTGAATGTTATGTTGAACTCGAAGTTATTTTTTAACCATTTTAGAGGTTCTATATTTACAGAAAATGGGTCTCAAAGAAGCAGGGGAGACATCAAGAATACCATGTATCAGAATGAAACAACAGAACCATGCCATTTGAGCTCATCTATTTACTATGGTGGCCAAGATATTTACTATCCAGCTACTCAGACCTCTAGCTACCAGAGTACTGTAAGTATAGGCAGTTTCTTTAAAAGGAAAAATAGGAAGTTTAAAAGTCACGAATTTCCAAATATAAAAAGGTGTCATAGAACAGACTAAAAGGTAAAGAGCATGTATTTGTAAAATGGTAGATAGGAAGTAGGAATAGTTGTTTTTCAATTTCTAAAATGTTTTTTTCTGCTGCCTTGATCAGTTCAAGAAAAATGAAGAAGATGATTATCATAATGGAAACAATTCAAACTGTGCTTCAAGAGGAAATTGGTGGCGAGGTATGAAATTAATGTTGGAGTTATATATAGCAAAAGAATATTCTTTTCAAGGTGTAGAACCTTTTTTTAGCAATGTCATAAATTCAATTATGTGTTTCTGTTTTGCTCTGCAGGATCATTGTACTATTGAGGCATGCAAATCTGATCAGTTTTAAAAAAGTTACAAGATCAAAGAAGGAAATCATCACCTGCAACGAGTGGTAGATCTTACAACATTTGATCAGCCCTTTGATTTTTTTTTTGAAGTGCGGCCTTTCACAGACCCGGGATGTTTCTTGTACCAAGCTACACCTTTTTCTTTATGATAGTAATTGTAGGACCTTAAGACAACTTGTACATGGGTTCATGAGTTCGACAGGACCCACTGTTGTGTTGAACCATATATATAAATTTGGCATAAAGTGTAAACATATATTTAAAAATCTACTTTCTTAACTTAGAATTCACATTCGTGGCGAAGTCAGGAATTTTCTCAAGGCCATGTTCAAACTTGAAAGAAGTAAAAACAATTCCCCGATAAAGGGGTCCAATATTTGTTTATATAAAACCTAATATTTTACCTATATATACAGTATAATTTTCGACGAATGATGGTCAATTGAGTACCCTTAGAACAATGTAGCTTCGCCCCTCTCCACAACGTCTGGATTATGGATTCATCGCCTTGCTCCTTACATTAAGTCACCAATATTTCGACACTATTAAAATTTGTAGAATTTGTCTTAAACGAGGGTTTAAACACAGTTTAATGATTTGTGTTGAAACAGTAATAGATTAATAAATGTAACGACCTGATCGGTTGTTTTGAGCTCTAGCACGTCATTCGGCAGTTTGAGACTTTGAGTAGCTTCACTTTAGGTATATTAACTTGTACGTGTGGCCGAAATTAAATTTTGGGAAGTTCGGGATGGATTTGGAAAGAAAATTCTAATTTCGGAAGCTTTAAGTTGGAAGAATTGGCTAAGATATTACTTTTGAGTAAACGGCCTCAAAATTGGGATTTGAAGGTTCCAATAAGTTCGTATGATGATTTCGGACTTGGGCGTAGGTTCGGGTTGAGTATCGGATCACCCGGCAGCATTTCAGCGCTTATTATAGAAGGTTGACATTTTAAAGGTTTAAGAATTTCATGAGTTTGGTTTGAAGTGGATTTTGATGTTATCGATATCCGTTCGGGGTTTCAAGCCTTGGAATAGCGTTGTTATGTCATTTGTGATTCGTGTGCGAAATTTGAAGTCATTCTGGATTGATTTGATGTGTTTCTGCACAAGATATAGAATTTAGAAATTTAAAAATTTATAAGTGTGATTCGAGGCGCGATTCATGATTTTGATATTGTTTGACGTGGTTTAAGGCTTCGACTAAGTTCGTATTGCATTTTGGGACGTGTTGCATTCCAGATGGTTAACAAATTTATTTTTTGGACTTAAGAAATGCTGAAGCTGGGTTGCAGCTAGTGTGATCGCTTCTGTGATGCCTTGGTAGCAGAAGGGACATCGCAGAAGGGACGTCGCAGAAGCGACGTCGAGCTCGCAAAAGCGAAATGGGAAGGGACTAGCAATGGACGCAGGTGCGAAGATTTTCCCATATCTGTGTGACCGCAGAAGCAGCCCAGTGGTCGCAAAAGCGGAGGGGAGTGAGGTAGGCTGGAGGCGCAGGTGCGAGGTTTGTGCCGCACCTGCAGGACCGCAGAAGCAGAGTATTATCCGCAGAAGCGAAGGCAGGAGGCTGAAGGGTGAGCTCAAAAGCGGTCAAGTGAGCGTAGGTGCGAGAGGTCGTTGGGCAGTGTGTTCTTTTAAGAATGGGATTTGGCCCATTTTCTTTCATTTTCCACTTGGTTGGGGCGATTTCGGAGAGCTTCAAGGGAATATTTTTATCAAGCAATACAAGGTAAGTGATTCCCACCTATTACAAGTTAAATACATGGTTTGTATTTTGATTTAAATATGGAAATTAGTAAAAATTTGGGATTTTGGTAGAAAACCTAGAATTTGATTTTTTTTTTTATTTTGACCACGAAATTGGACATGGAATTTGGAATAAGTTATATATTTTAGTTCGTGGTGTTATGGGTAAAGTTTATCTTTGAAAATTTTCGGAATCCAGACAAGTGGGCACGAGGGTTGATTTTATCAACTTTTCGACAGGAGTTGGGAATTGTTTAAAATGATTAATTCTGGTTATTAGAATATATTTTGATTGGTTTTCACATAGCATTGGTTTGAGATGTTAGATAGGCTTTGGATCCGGTTATGGAACTTCGGAGCGAGGTAAGTCTCATGTCTAACTCTATGAGGGAGAAACTACCCCTAGGTGATGTGTTTGTTATGAGCTATTTGTTACGGGGGCTACGTACAGACGAAGTGACGAGAGTCCGTACGCAGCTAGATTCATGTTATGTCCGAGTAGACTTAGGTTCCCGCCATGCTATAACTGTACCATTTGAGTGTTCACTAGCCTATTAAATTCCTTTATTTTACATTACGACTTGAGACTAGGATTGCGTAAAATTATAGACTTGCTATTGTAGAGATTTGACGGCTTCATGATAAGCCGCGTTATGCATTCTTATCGAAAAGTTCCCTTAAAAATTTATAACTTACACGACTATTCATGAGTGGGGTTGAGGCCCCATCAAAACTTCTTATTCTAATAGGATTGGGCCGTTTTCCTTGGCAGGATAGATATATCTATGGTTCGTGTCGTTCGACCCACGACAATGCGCACATTATGATGGATCAGGTCGTACGCCTCGGCAGGATTATGTACCACACTCTTATGGGAGCGGGCCGTTCACCTCGGCAATAAAATAGATGTATCTATGGTACGACAATGTTATGATGGATCGGGCAGTACGCCTCGACATTTCTATAAAATACTTTTATGAAGTCGTGCATAATAATTGGCAAGAAGCCAGCATATCTGTGAGCTTTTCCTGATTGAACTGTGACGACCTATCTAGTAAGGTCCATTATATATATATTCCTATTGAGGAAGTAGCTACTACCTGAGAGTTTGAGTTATTGCTGAGAGGAGGATTGTACCACGTATTATACTTGTTATTGTATCTGTCTTATTGGACCACTAGTAAGTGTTGATGTCGATCCCTCGTCACTACTTCTCTAGGGTTAGGCTAGATACTTACTGGGTACGCGTTGATTTACGTACTCATGCTACACTTGCTACACTTTTTGTGCAGGTACATATATGTCTGGTGGTCTTTTGGGCTCAAAGACGTGACTATTACAGGGACTTTACCGTGAGCTGCATTTCATGTCACGATCCGCAGCCTGCAGAGTCTCCATCAGAGTTATTTGTATTCCTCTATCTAAATTGTATTCCAGGCAGATGTTGTATTTTATTATATTTCCTTGTTGATGCTCATGCACTTGTGACACCGGATTTTGTGGGTTCCTACGTGTTGTTTTTTGTTGTAATTATGTAAATATTATCACTTACTTTGTAACAATCTATTTCTTACGATTTAATTAAAGGAAAATTTTGATTTCAATTACTAAAATAAGTAAGTGAGTTGATAGATCACTGTTAGCTTGCCTGACGACGGGGTTAGGCGCCATCACGACCTATAGTAGATTCTGGGTCGTGACAGCTTGGTATCAGAGCATTAGGTTCACTTAGGTCTCATGAGTCATGAACAAGTCTAGTAGAGTCTTGTGGATTGATGTGGAGACGTCTGTACTTATCTTCGAGAGGCTACAGGGATGTTAGGAGCACTTCGCTTCTTGATTCCTCATTGTGCGATTTGATTCCATTGAGGCTTGTGCCTTTATTTCCTTCCTACTCAATCTTATGCAACGTGAAGCGTTTGTTGTCAACTGGACTCCGAGTAGTGGTATTGATACTGCAGATGTAGTGCAGGATGTTTTTCCCTGCGTGTTTTGGCAGGCTATTATCGTCGCCTTGCGGAAGGGTGTTCTGTCGTTTCAGTTCAGTATCGGTACTTCCTATGGTTTTGAGGCTATGCACAAATTTCTATATGTCCATGTGTTGTTATCACATAGTGTTAGTGTTAGTGTATGGTAGGGTGCTTATTTATGTGTCGAGGCAGTGAATGATTTGAAAGGAGGATTTCTCAGTGCATGATTTAGAGGTTCCACATTTAATTCCAGCAGAGGAAAGACAATCGGACTATGAATGTTCAGGCTTTGGTTGATGGAGTAACGAGATTTGAGATTTTTGAGCCTGGTGGAATTTTCGTTGTGATGCGGTGTCGTCGTCCTTAATTGAACGTATTACGGTTCGCCGGTATTATGGTCTTATTTGATTTTTGTCTTCGGGGCAGGGTGTTGTGAAATAGTGCCTGAGGAGCGGTTGTCAGAGATAGCGGTGTGTAGCGGTTCAGAATCAAATTGGTATTTCTAATGCTGATGGTTGGAGAGAGAGAGATGATCTTCAAGGAGGCTTAGAGTTGGTAGCAATTTATTAGTTCGGGTGCTACAAGTATGGATTTGATTTGAGGCAACATTTGGGCAGCGATGTATGAGGAAGGATGTGGGGGAGGTGTCTCGTGGTGGTTGAATTACTAGTAGGTCAAGTATGATAAGTGGAGGTTCGAAAAGTTGCTTAAAGGAGATGGTTTGACCAAAATGGGAGTGGCAGAGTAACATATGGATTCCGTTGTAGGATAGCCACATACCTTGAGGAAGATTTGAGCGATTTGAAAGGCATGGTGGGAGTGACTAGGTCCACAGATTATAATTGGACTGGTGGTTACTGTACGGAGAAAGATTGAATATGGCAGAGAGGAGTTCGCTTGAAATAAAGAGGGGTGTGAAGATTTGATTATCGTTACGGATGCAACATAGCTTCGAGTTCGGAATGTATTGTTGAACTTTCAGATGATGTCAGCGGGGAAGGAACATGCTTGTACAGCTGGTGGACGAGCATGGGCTAAGGAGAATTTACTGACTACATGGTAGTTGTAAAGTGCAGCATTGTTGGAAGATGTCGGTAAGGAATCGCACAGGTGGGTTATCTCCTGTGAGCAGGTTAGCGGTTGCATGATGTTGATGAAGCTTCTGCGAATAATACTACTTGTTACCCGATAAAAGGTCGAATATGTGATTGTGACTGATAATTCGGAATGTTTCATGAATAGTATAACAAGAGATTTTGAGAAATTTGGCGGGTTAGAGGTGCGAGATCATGGTAACTGAGAAGGAGGATGTCACAACCCAAATCGTAGGGACACGACGGGCACCCGGTGCCTAACTCAACCGAGTACCAATGTAACGTATCCTTCTTATCATACTATCATGGGTAAATGAACCGGAAAGGACGTCATGAGATAACTAGAATTAAACATAAGAGAATACTCGACATGGGATGACCAAACATGATATAGAAGCTTATGCATGCGACATACGGTCCTATAAGGCCAACATGATCATTTGTGTACTCAAAACATAGGCCGACAAGGCTATAC